GTTGCCAGACTAATTAGGATTCTGCTTGCTTGAAGTCTCCTTGCCAAGCAAATGATATTTGTTTGAGAATATTGCAAATCCACCTGCATTTCAATAAAGTTCTCTTTTAAAACTTCATTAATATTTATCAGAGGCTTATGGAAAGCTATTCTGCCAGTTAAGCAGAGGGAACTCAGCATGAAAATGCATAGCAACAGCAGGTCTTCTAGGGCTTATTCAGCAGTTAGCAATTAAGTCTCACCTTCTACAGGTAGTCCTTGGTTTGTTACAATTGGGATTAGAACTGGGATTAGAATTTTCATTGCTAAGCATTGAATGATGGTTAAAACACCATTAAATCTTTAGGCTTGCCCCTAGTTGGCAGCACATAGTTAAATTTGAAAAATGCAAAATAGGTTCACAACCGGGTTAGGAAAGAAGACCACAAAGAGAGATTCCTGGATGTCTGTACTAGACATGGACAGTGGAAAAGCATCCTAAAAGGAAATGCTTCTGTGTTATTTCCGAGCAAATTACTTGAAGTATCCATGAATGGAGTTTAAGTTGAAGAAGATTTGACTTTACCTACCGATTATCTTCTACATCTAACGACAAACCTACACTCCTAAAAATAAATACAATGAGGAGACTATGTACTTAATTTTACATGTATTGAGAGCCCTGGGAATTGCATTTGCACAATATTGGAAAAATGAGAACACCCCATCAGATGAAAATGTAATTCAGAAAATATTGGACTGTGCAGAGATGGATAGATTGACATTGAAAATAAAAGATACAGAGTATTACTTAACATGGAATAGATTTTATGAGTGGTTACAGGTAAGAGGTAGAAGTTAGATGAAGAAAGATTATTGCTATGTATAAATTAAACATGGTTTATGACTATAAGTACGCTAATATAAATCAATAGGATTATAAATAAGCCAACATAATTATAAATTTGGTATTCTTTTGTATAACTACTATTGTTATTAGCAAATATGTTACTATTTATTTATTTTTCTTTTTTCTTTTGTAAAATGATATGCCCAGACAATATACTATATTAAAAATGATTATATATACATTTTTTTTAAAAAGTGGGCATATATGTGTGTATCTATCTATCTATATCTATCTATCTATCTATCTATCTATCTATCTATCTATCTATCTATCT